AAAATTAATTAATTGAAAAATGTTGTTTGTCTTTTTTATTCTGAAAAAGTTATTTCATAAAAAGAACGTGCTGAGCATGTATACATGTAAACAGTGATCGCCAATCTTGACGTCACAGCCCTAACCCTGTTGTAGAGCTGCGACATTTTCTACGACGTCGTAGGCTACGACAAACGTTAATAAAACGGTCTTAACGTTCTGCGAAATGTCTGCGACAAAAAACTAGCCTAAAACGTGATTTTTTTCAATTTCGCACGATTGCCTTACGACTGTCTTAGCAATCGCACGTCTATTGCACGTCTATTGCACGGTCAATTTGCGACGACCGTACGAAATGTTGTTGGTTTTTGTCCTGCTTTTAGGCTTAAATATCGTGCGAGCCATTCGACGGCCGTACGAACAGCGTACGTCTGCCTTACGATCTACAAATCTGTCTAGATAGACTGCGAAATCGCCCGCGATTTTTCTACGGCACAGATTTCTCAACAAATCGTACGAACCAAATTTCGTGCGGCTGATGTGATAGAGGCTTAATATCAGTTGATTTTTAACTTTTCTGTTCAAGTGTTTGTAAAACCAGTTGCATATTAAATGCTTTAGTGCAATAGAAACTGAAACCTTAGTACACTACGGGGAAAACGCGAAAAGTAAATTTCTAGCTGCTGCTTGTGACCATAAATAATTTGATATTTGCATAGGGTCAGAGACTTATATTACAGATAAAAATACCCCTTTGAACAGGATATAAAATTGGCATCAGACAGATTGTAGTTTCCCTTTCCTACCTAACGAATTTCATATTACATGTATAAATATTGCATATCAGCCACAGTGCTAGATCTACTTCAGAATATTTCAAAGTCTATAAAAAATGTAGCACGACAAGTTTAAACACCGATCTGGGACGGAAAATCTTTCTGTCCCAGCACCAATTATATTATAACGTCAGTGCCTAGAATTATTTCCTTGTGCATTTTGTCTTGAGATTGAGATATTTTTACCATATAAATTTAATGGTTAAAAGCCCGTTTACGACGTCTAATGAATTGGACTACTTGTTCAGCTATCTTAGCATTTTCAAGGGACACAGGACGTGAAGTGGTTGCACACTTGGTTCAAGCGAGCGAATTGGTTGCAAACTTGACAAAATGGCGAACGCGGCGTGATTTTTTGAAACGGGTGAACGAATTTTTGCAAGGCAAGTGGATTTCTTTGTTATTTTGATGTTCATTAGTATGTCTATTCCATAATGCAATATATATGCCACACTCGGTTAAAGGTTTAAGCATCCTAGATTCTGTTTTGACGAAGTATAAACTGATCATGTAGATATTTTGAAATTTGACATGTGACTGTTCTGGTCGGTTTTTCTCCTAATTTATTCGAATTTGTAAGTTTTGAACTGCATTTAACAATAACAAAATATGTTTCTGTCAATGCTGTACAAATGGTTTAGTTCGCAAGTCCGAAGATAACGTTCAATACACAAAAATATCTTGTTCAAGCACATTTTGGTTGCAGACTTATACTTCAACAATTTTTGGTTGCAAACTTATTCTTATTCTATTGAAATCCGTAGTAAAACGTTGCAAAAGGAGTACAGTAAAGTAGACCTATTTTCAATGGCAAATTATTAAAATTTATGTTCTGTTACTTGTTTTTGTTATAAATGTTATTTATATTTTCTTCTTTTACAACAATTATGCACTTTATGTTTCAAATTACATGATTATAATCATCAGCAAAAGCTTGCAAACAAAATAATAGCATATAGAAAAATATTTATTGATACTTCAATTCTAAAATATGTCATCATATGTAAAATGCAAATGAAAACTACATACAAAACAAACGTATGTGAGAGTACTGTCTAATTTGCAAACGTCGTTTGAACATGTAAAATATGCAAACGCAGGTTGAACATATTAAATATATAATTATATAACCGCTGGTTATTTAAGTCAAGTTGCAAATACTACAATACTCTTAACAAAATACTTCTCTCTTTTCTTCTTCTTTTTCATTTTAAAACATTCTTCTTCTTGAATAACAAACTTTCATAAAACTTCCATATATACATGTATTCATAAAACCGTATAATCTTCTCACACAAAATCCGTCGGGTATAAACTTTGATTTAGAAAAATTTCAATCTTCTTAGGTTGAACTATACAGCGACGTTAAAATACACAGTGAGAACACTTGGAGTAACTTGTTTCAAATAAAATTTAACGAAGGTGTTTTCTTTTGACCAATCTGCAGCGTTGAGAATTGATTTCATTGACGCACCTTTAAAAAGTGCCCATAAGGGACCTAAAGCTCTTGTAGAATGTGCTGTTACACTTTTATGTTTATCTTCATAAGCCTCTTGAATAGTTTTAATAATATATGAAGCCAAAGTTTGTGAAGAAGCTTTCTAAAGAATTAGGTACATTTTTGCCAGAAATAAACTTGTTTCATCTTTACGTCTGAAGGATTCAGTTCTTTTAAGAAAGATAACAAGTGCTCTTTTAGGATCAAGTAATTTGTTGGTCTTGAAAGCTGGTACAAAAGTTTTGCTGATGAATGACCAGGTCTATCCTGTTTAGCCAAACCTTTTTGTAGCGCACTTAGAACTTTAGGCAAATCCAATTCAGAGGAGGGCTTAAATTGAATACTCCTTTTAATAATCTGATAACATACGGATGTTGACCAATAGGAGTGTTATCTACTGGAGGTAAAACTGCAGATAACATAGAGCGGTAACCTGTTATTGTACGATACTGTAAACCTTTATTGTACAGATCTGATAAAAACTCAGCACAATTATTAAAGGATGCTGTAAGGAATCAATAAATATTCTTTTCACGACACCATATCATAAATTGTCTAAATTTACTGGAGTAATCTTTCTGAGTACCAGTTCTCCAGCTGGCTGTAAGAAGTTTCCTAACTGATTTTGAAAAAAAAACTTTTTCTCTAAACTGTCTGTCGATAGCAACCATGCAGTCAGGTTCAGAACACCTGGATTTGGATGACATACCTGAGATTTTGGTTGTTGTAACATGTTTGTAACCAATGGGCGACATAACGGTTGAGCTACCGACAGATTCAATAACTCTGGAAACCATGGGCGTCGTGGCCAGAATGGAGTTATAAGAATCAGTTTGCAATGAAACTGTTTCATATGATGAAGAACTCTGGAAATGAGACACATAATTATAGTCCAGCGTTCAAAGAGACATCAACAGGCGCTTGCATATATTTCAAATGACCAACCGACGTTTGCATATTTTACATGATCAAACGACGTTTGCAAAATCGACAATAAGTGGAAAACATGGGTTTATATCGAATATAACCTTGCTAATGAAATTATAAATAAGTTAGGGACGAGAATTGCTTGTAAAAAGACATATCTTCTATTATTTTCACTTTACATGGGTTTCAAGTGAACAAAAAAGAATAGAAAAGGTAAAACCTATCGGCGTTTGCCTTGCAAAAAGAAAATTTGTGTCGAAGTGTTCTAAAAAAATACTTAAGTCTCGCAATTACTACCTACATTAAACAAAAGCTCAATTAACGCCGGGTCCTACGGTTTAGGTTTTAATTTTGTGGATGCAGTAGAAAAAAGATATCTTCAAATAAGATATCTTCAAATAATTACCTGAAATTGGGTCCGTACGTGTTTGCTGAAATGTTAAATCGGCGTTTGCATTTGTAGTCCGTGACAAAACTTGTTCATCCAGGGTGATACATAATACCAGTAAACTGTAACTGTGCTTATTGCCTAAAAGCAACACATGAAAAAGATGGTTCAGGTAATGGACAATTGAGTAACTTTTTGATACTACCAAAACTGGAAAGCTTTTGAAGAATAATTATTATTAAAGATTATTATTTATTAGCATTCACGAGGCATAATTAAGGGGAGGTCACTCTGTTCAAATTCAGTCACTTAGTTCCCCTCTTGACACTTTTTGCATTTTTAATATGAAATTCTTTTTATTTATTTTTTTATTCACCCTATATTGACACCACTTGTAATTTTAAGAAGAAATCTCTCTACAACTATTAGGTTTAGCAAAATAAATAAATCCATTTTGTGGAAGTAAAATACGTTTTATCTCCGTTAGAACTATTTTTACACGTAAATTGTAGTTTAAAGGATAAATCACTTACTCATCCCTATTGCATACATGTACATCCGAATCAGGTAATTAAAAGTTGAAATTCCTTTTTATGACGCCATTGGTATTTTAAGCAGAATGTCACCCATCAGTTTTGCTAAATTAAGGCTTTGGTTCTTAGACCAAAAACGTTTATGGTAGCGTGAAGTATAGCATACATTTGTATTATCATTTAAGCTAGAACGAAAAACAAACTTACTGTAACTTATGTGTCATACGTACTCGAAGGCCTGCTTTGATAAGTCAAGTTCTGCCAATTGCAAAAGGTCAAAGAATAATTATAAATGTCTCGGCTCAGTATTGCCAAAGAAAATAAGAATGTTCCAAAAATATATGATTTTATTGACGCTTTTCCTTCCCAGCAGGCGGGTTATCTGATCTTCAGAAGTTAAATACTTGTAAACAATTAAAAATAAAAGGGCTATATAAAACCAGGAACGTACGTGTATGAATTCCATACAATACACTGATAAAATCTGTCAAAAATCTGTACCCAAAAATCTTTATACCTAAGAATGTAAATAATTTTGAGGTTAGTCCTTTAAAATTTAAATAATAATAATAATAAAAATTAATAAGAACACGCAAATAACATAGCATACATGTAACTTGATAACCCAAATGAACTCTAACATTTAGTGGCGGCTGATCGTAAATATAGTGGGCGTGACCATGTGTTGATCGCATGAGTCACCAAAAAATAAAATCCCCGATTTGTAAACTAACATAAACAAGATCTTTTAAACAATGTTAAGGGAATTCTAGGTGCACTTAAAAGAATGTGAGTAAAATACTTTGGGAACCCATCATATTACGATGATCTTAATTTATAATTAGATGTAGAAATAAATATAAGAACCAATTTTAGACATTTATAAGCTGTATAACAGTTACAGCAGCTGGGATTTAATCTCATCTGATATTTTTTTTTATCGTACATGTATGTCACAGGTGACAGTTGTAGTTAAACAGGAAAGTACAAGGTATGTTACTTTGCTAACCTTATTATCTACAAATAGATGTTGCATAAAATCATTCTGGGAACGTTAAAACATGTAATTAAAGTACTGTATGGAGTCATTCATAATCACTAAACAGTTCTAAATCAGTGATGTAAATTAATGGACAAATATGGTTTTAATTAATGAACAGTGTTTACATTTGATAATACATTAGTTATTATGCTGCAAGTTACCAGAAAACTTACTTATGATAGATAATAGAACAAGAAAAGACTAGTTTCCAACATTATTTGTCATCAAATGAAAAACGCTGTATTTCTGTGTGTTAATTTTCATAGATGAACAAAAGCCGATTCTATATTGAATTCCGTCCATAGTTGACTTCTATTTTTCATAGTACATCATAGAACCGCATAGTGACGTAAGAAGTGAATGATAATGAGGCCAAATAAAGCTTGACACTAAATATGTTAGTATTCATCCGTGCAGTTCTACAGAAATTAGAAACATTCTCCTGTTGCTATCGCTCCTGTCGAAGTTTCTAATTTCTGTAGAACAGCACGGATGAACACTAACATATACAAAGATGTCCACTTTAACTTAGCTGTAAAAGAGATGCTTCTACATTGTATTTCTCTGGCTGTAAGTGTAAAGACATTGCTTCATCTGAATTATTCATATAGATATCCTACCCAAGAACTATCAATCATTCAATAGAACATTTTAACCATCTAATGCACATACAGTGGTTACATTAAGAAGCATACAAGTCAGTCGTCATTCGTGCCTCAACGTTATCATTGTCAGAGTGGGTTATGTAAAGTATTGGAAGAAGAAGTTCATTATTCAATTGATCATTCTTTCTATCATGATCATGTACACAATATTTGAACTGTTTATTTTTCATTTTTTTGTAATTTATTTTGTTTTAATCAGTGCCCAAACATAATGTTAAGTGAATTGAAGGAGTGTGGTATCCACAAAATAAAAGAGGTTAACAGTTGTATCTATGCATTACATGTCAAATATTTGTCCGTCTATGTAGGTCTTTCTCACATAGTTTCACCTATCATTAAAATTTGTCGATCCCTAAGAGGGATAACCAATTATATTTAGCCATTGAATGATAGACTTCTCAAACACAATAACAGACTTAGTTAAAATATTTCGACATGCCAAAGCTAGATTTTGAAATATGTTTGTTCTGGGTCAGAATCTCGCTTGTAATGGATATATTGTCCATACACAAAATAGCACAATGTCTCATCAGGTAGTACAATAAGTTGGACTAAAAATAGACCATGCACACCAATTAACAAAAGGCAAATGTTCCATCTTCTATCACAAACCTGTCATCTAGCTATGTTAAAAAAGGCGATGTACATTTTGCTGATAACTTTTGGCCAATGGCCCAAAACTTGCTAGCTTTGTGAGGTTTTATCTCTTTTTATTTTTCACATACTGATTAAGACAAGTGATAATCATATGCTATATAGGTCAACTAAGGTCCCATTATGATTTTCATGTAATATATATTGTACATTATTTTTTTAGCTAGAGACAGAATTTACAAGGTCTTCAATTTGAAATGCCAACAGAACATTCAAATACTGTAGATGCTGAGGGGACAGACTATGTTGACTTCGATAAAAAGGATTGTGATGAAGTAAGTGGTTTGTAACATCTTTGATGACTCAACTCTACTTAGTTTGTAGAACTATACTTCATACACATGTCATATTGTCTCCTGATATAGCTGAAAAAAAGAAACCATGTTCATTGTTGGTCATTTTCCATTATGGTTAAATTCTCTTCAATTCTATGTGAAATAATGTCCAAAATTGTATTGTACTGAAGGACACTTAAATACTGAGAGGCTTGACCCATTCTACAAATTCTAATTTGCACACTATGTCTTTTAAATAAATAGTCTTGTAGAACTTTTACTCTTTTATCTTTTTAAATTTGCATATAAAGAATGTCTTAAATTAACAGTTCACTGACAACGCGCCTCCTAGTCATAATCAGAATTGATTGCTAAGCATCTATCATGTAAATGTAGATAAGTTACTGAATGATAACCCTCAATAGTCATTTCTCCTATCATTTGTTTATTCATAAACCCGGCATAATATGGTTTGTCAGTTGCTGTTATGATAATGTTCTTTTGTTTCAGGATGATTTTTCGCAGCAACTTAGACTGAAGAGAGAAGCAGTACGACTTGAAACATATGTTGACTGGCCAAAAGCTTTACCTGTCAAACCAGAAGATTTAGCTAGAGACGGATTTTATTATCTTAAAACTGGCGACAAAGTGAAATGTATTTTCTGCAATCTTGTTTTAAAAAGTTGGGAAGAAGGCGATGTTGTTAGGAATGAACACAAAAAGTTTAATTCGACGTGTCCATTTTTAATAAATAAAAACTGTGGAAATGTTCCCCTGCAAACTGTTCAGCCAGGGACATCTAGTGCCGGAGCTGGTGCTGGAAAGGTTCCAAGGTTTCCAGAATACAGTAAGCCAGCAGCTAGAGAAGGGACGTTTCGTGAAAAACCAGCATCAATGAAACAGTCTGTAGATGAGCTGGTAGAAGCTGGGTTCTTCTATACAGGTGCTCAGTTTTACTTCTAATCTATCAACATCTTTCTTTATAATTAAATAGTATTTACTTTATCAGAGACTGCAAAATGTCTTACAATTGAAGTCACATTATATAGGTAAAGAAGGAAAAGCATTACGTTTTGGAAGTCACAAACCAAAGTCAGAAGTAAATGACTCCTAAACTTCCACTAATGCAAGCTCTGTGCTCTGTCAAGGAAGTACAATTATTGGTATTCTATCTAAGGGATATTACAAAACTAATGGAATTTACATCAATGATGGAAAGAATACACAATTCAAACTTCTTAATTTTAAGTAATGTTACAAAACCAGTTGAATTAGTACTTTGTTTGTTTGTTTGTTCGATTGAGTTTTACGTCACATCGACACAGTATAGGTCATATCGCGACGTTCCAGCTTTACTTGTGGAGGAAGACCTCAGGTTCCCTTCCGTGCATTATTTCAGGCACGAACAGGCACCTGAGTAGAACCACCGAAGTTCCGTAAGCTAGCTGGATAGCTTCCTCACATAAAAGAATCCAAAGTCCCTGTTGGGATCCAAATCCACAGCGGTGAGGGGCAAGTGGTTTGAAGTCAACGACCTTAACCACTCGGCCACGGACGCCCCTGAATTGGTACTTAATATCAGTCATAGATACAATACACTTCTTTCTTTGAGGGAGGTTATAAAGCTTGTCAGATTCATGTCAGTTACAGATATAATATACATTTACTTTAAAAGGACAATCTTATTTATTATATCAGTCATAAAAGGCCTTTCCCAAGTGTCACCAGGGTAAGAATAACAGACCCACTCCCAATGGCAAATATGCTTATTTTTCCCCTTTTTTTCCAAATCTTAAAAAGAAAATCCCAATTTCACTGAAACTCCCAATATCCAAGCTAACAAATTTTCTGACGTTCATTCTGGTATCAAATCCAACAAACAGATGTTTCCTCAAATATATTTATATAAAAATAAGCATATCTGCCGTTGGGGAATCGGTCTGGTAATCTGACTCGTGGTGACACTGGGAAAAGGCATGTTAATACAAAGTATAGTTTTTTTATTGTAATTCGATAATTTTTCAGGGCAAGATGATTGCGTGAGATGTTTTCACTGTGGTATCTTGATAAGGAACTGGGAACCAGAAGATGACCCGTGGACGGAACACAGACAATGGTCACCAAGATGTTCATTTTTAAGGTCACAGTCAGAATCAAAAGAATGGTAAGGACAGAAATCTACAATTACTTACTAAACTTCACTACAAAAGGATGATTGTCTCTTTGTTAAAATTTGAACACCTGTATTCATAAAACTGTTCAATTCAATACCAGACTAAATGATAACAATTTTTTTTATGTACCATCACCTTAGTGCAATAAGAGGTTAATTCCTATGAATGATTAATAAGAGTTAACCTGTTACAGCACTAAGGTGATGGCATATCTATTGAACTGCAAGACTGAATAATTCCTAAGATGAAAATAAATTGATACATATATTAAGTAACACGTTAATACACATGCACCAACAGTCCGAAATAATAGAGCATTTCAGACCTGACCATGATTTGGTTTGCACTGGTTACACGGAGAGAAGCATTTGCTGCCTGTAGCTCAAAGTTAATACTGTGTTGCATTTAATTAAAACAAAGTATGCCTTTGACATGTATATAATTATGAAATTTAAACATTTGTATCTAATCTTTTACAATATTTATTACGCATGTGCATGTAAATAGATGGTTGTTTTATATATTTTTATGAAAGAAAAATTATTAATCTCACATTTAAACCAAAAAAATAAATTTGAAAATTTAATTTATCAGTTGTAAATATTTTTGGAAAAACAAAAGATATATAGTTAATGAATAAGTTAGGTAATTTCTGATCTCATTTTTGTTAGTAAAAAGAACAAAATTGAAACATGTCTTTTTTAAAATCATTTCTGTCAAAAAGTCTAATTGAATCACAATTTCGTTGAAGTGTTTTATAAATAGTCAAATATGTTCCTGCTACAAACATTTTACATGTATGATCCCATAATGTAACAATAACTTTATACACCTATCTAATTTCATTGTCTTTCTTCCTTATGTTTTGAAGATACTGTAACATTTATAACGTATAGGGGAAGTTAAACGTATTGATTTACACACACAGTCTATCTGCTGAATTATTTATCACTCTTTCAGTTTAGCATAATTGTTTGAATAAGATCATATTATCAACCATCATCAAAAAAAAACAGGAAGTGAAACTGAAAGTAGATTTGGCTGAGTGCATTTGCCCGTCAAGTTTGTTTGATTAATTAGCCCAACCTTGAACTTGGAGTAATCGATTTAAAGTTTTAGGGATTTAAATATTATCAAAATATGAAAATTAGTCTATATGTACCAACAGTATAGATAGAGCCTGGTCAGAATGCATGGCTGTGCAGGTTGGCCTGGCTCTATACTGGTAGAAAAGGCTGATCATTTTTGGTTCCAGCAGGTTAAGGATAAATTATACAGCCAATTTCAAGAGAGACTGTAAAAAACACCAAGAAGGGCCTTCGGTGCTACATTGATCACAGAGTACCCATAAATCTTTATTTGAAAATGTTTTTCTTTTTTATCAACAGATTTTAAAGCAGCACGCCTCCAGATACATGTTAAATTTCATGAAAATTTTGATAATGTATTTGAAAGTAAAATATTGTGAGGTGAACAAATAAAGTTATTTACATAATTATTGCAATTCGTACTTACAATCCATGCAATTAACCAAAAAGAGATCAAAATATGCAAAAATGCCCTTACTGCGTTAGCAACGTGGTAGAAATATGGTGATACAATACTTCAAAATCAGTCTTAAATCGCACATAACATGTAAACTTTAACATGAATCTTGATTGTGTTTACCTTTCTTGAAAGATTAGTACATTTTTCATATTGAAATATTTTGGCACATCTGGAGGCGTGCAGCTTTAAATTCACAATTTTTTTTTCGAACAGTCTCATTATTAGTTTGAGTCTATTCTTCATTTCTTATGTATAAGTTTTCATTGCTCAAATACGAGTTGTAAGTAGTAAAGAGCTTCTTTTTCAATTATTTTGAGAAGATAATCGGTTCACAAAATTTGTGTATGTATTTCCAGTTTTGAGATAACTCCTGTAATAAAGCAAGTGCTGAAAATGGGATATGATAAAGAACTAGTGAAAGCTATTGTGCAGCGTCGTAAAAGAGCGGGAGGTACGTTATATACATGTATATTAGAACATGATGGTGCTGGCCAAAGTGGCAATCCAACCTTTCATTTTAAATGACCTTTATGTTTTAGGTTAGATTTCTTTCAAAATTCTGAAAACAACTGTTACTATAAATACTTTCATTCATTATTGATTGGGAATGTAGGGTGTGTTTTATGAATTCACCTTATTTTACTTCAAATGTTACTACATGTGTATAAACAAAAAGAACATTTGAAGGAAAATATAGAGGCATTCTGGAGCCCTTTAAAATTAACAGTGATTTATTTTTCATTCATTATTAAAAATTTCTACAGTATGTACATATGTGTTTGCCCCTTACTACTTTGGGTTCGAATCCCAACAGGGACTTTGGATTCTTTCATGTGTGGAAGCTATCCAGCTAGCTTTCTGAATATAGGTGGTTCTACTCAGGTGCCCGTTTGTGCCTGAATTAATGCACAGAGGAGGACCTGAGGTCTTCCTATACCTGTAAAGTTGGAAAGTTACCATATGACCTAAATTTTGTTGGTGTGACATAAAACTCAAACCCCCACCCCCTTCAATTATGAGAGAAATTATTTTGATTCAGGAGCTGAGATCACAGATGTAAATGAGTTAGTTGATGCTGTAGAGCAACTGAGGATTCAACAAGAGACAGTATCTAGAGTTCATGGTATCACCAAGGAAACCGGGGCAGCTGGCTCTTCACATCCACATACTGAAAGTTTTCCCACTTCTGGTAAATTGAAGAAAACTTCTTCTTTTACAGTCAAATATTTACAAAAGACTGTCTCTGAAGAAAAGCCATATACATATAATTTTCTGATCACCTGTATCATCTGTGAACAATAATACATTCTTTGATTTATATGGGACATCCCATACAGGTTTAGAATAAGCATGCTATATTGTAAGTTGGTTTGGCAATATCATAAATAATAAATGAGGCTTATCCTTTCAAGCTACACAATGTAGTTCAATGTCTAGGTCCTACACTAAATATCTTAAATGGACTTGTCTCACTTTGGATATCAACATCATTTTAAGCAAAAATATCAAAATATGTCTCAACTGATTAGCGAACAGTTCAGACCAGGATCAGATGATGATCTCTGTATTCACTGGTTGTACGAGTATATTTTTAGCCACCAGTAAGCAAAAGGTGAATGAGTGCATAAGCTTTCAGATGTCATGGTCATGATCTATTTTAACCATGTGTTTAACCATACACCACCAGTACTGGTTAGTTCCAGGAAAATTACCTTTTACTTAAGTTCAAAGCATTCATCACAATTTAAAATAAATATTTGTTAAGTGAAGCTGTTTTATTGTCAAGCTGCTTATCCAAGCAGTTTGTGTTTTGGGCCAAACATTTATGGCTCCATTAATGATTCAGGAGCTTAATTCTGCTTGAGCTGCTGCTGCTAGAAAAGCTTGGATGGTAGCTTGTTTATATTACTGCCAGCCAGAAGCGATTCCATAAAATTTACTTGATGAGAGTTTTAGCTCGACTTTTCAAAGAATACTCAATAGGGAGAGCTATTATTCTCTCCCCAGTGTGCAATCTGGTATCTTCAAATATACTGAATGGAATTGGGTGATACTTCATACTCTTTTTTTTAAGTGCATAGTAGGAGATCACTTTTTAAGGCCCATAACTCTAACATGGATTTTGACAGAATTATGGCCCTTTTTGAACTTGGAAATTTTTACATTATCTGGAAAATTCAACATTATTCCCGCTTTTGTTTTACTATCCGGCACAGAGAATTGTTCAGCACAATGTTCTACTGACAACTCATTTTTGCCATGTTGGACAACTTAGTTTATAAATTTACTACTTGTATTTTGATATCTCACTGTTAACCTGTATTTAATTTTTATGCGTACTGACATTTTCAGGTGCTTCTTCGTTAGAAGATGCGTACAATCAGTTGAAGGATCAGAGACTATGTAAGATTTGTATGGATAGAGAACTAGAGATCACGTTCATACCATGCGGACATTTAGTTACTTGTGAACAGTGTGCACAACCATTGAAAAAATGTCCTATTTGCCGAAAACTCATCAAATCTCATGTGAAAACTCGAATGTCGTGAATTCTTTAGTACATACATTCTGTTATTTTGGGACATCTTCCTGGATGGAGTGGGGTAGGATAGTGGGGTTATTTGAGGAGAAGTGTTAAAAATCAATCTGTAACATTAGAATTTATTTTTCTTACTTCATAACAAAGAGAAGTACAAGCCAGGACAACAGTTGTTATAAGGAATGATGATATGATGAAAGCAAAAATGTTGATGTCATTGTATGCTGAAATGTATTTGATAAAAGTTACAACAGCAAAATCATTTCAAGTAGGCTTGAAAATCATTACAATTAGGTAACTCATTTGTGTCACTTTATAAAAAGAATACCGCAAAATCATTATTATTTATGGGGCACTTATTTTTGTGGATTTCGTGTGTAGGTCAATCCACAAATTTAAGATCCAACGAAATTTTATTTGTGTGCGGTAGAATTATTTTGCATAACATTATTTACATTTTACCTTTTAGAAAAATGAACAGTCAACAAATTTAACTTTTAAGGACCCACAAAATGTTGTTTGTGATAAAAAAAACTGAGAAATTTCATGCCAATGAAATTAAGTGAATTTAAGATGTTAACATAAGTAACCTTGGTTTGGTTGGATCACTTAAACTGACTGATTTTTATAGCATGATCATTTATACGGCAAAACAAAATCCAATGCAACTGAGCTGACCACTTGCTCATTTGTTATATATTATAGTTAATATTGTGAGCAAAAGGCTTGCTTAAAATACTTGATGAAGAATAGAGGGTAAACTGTGCATAGAGTGGCAAAGAGAAATTCAAGTTTATAAGTTTTTATGGAGCATATTGGTGTCAGGATGAAGATTTTAGATTTTGTAAAATAAAAAATTTTATTGTTGTAAACTACGCTTACAATCAAAAGAATGTACTCACTTAGAAAAAAGGTCATAAAATATTAGATTTTCAAACAATTTATTTGTTTTGATAAGTTAATTAAGTTTCATGATCTAACTACCAAACATGGAAACAACATTTGTTTGAGTAGACCAGAGACATAGATAACAGAGATAAACAGCTCCTATATACTCCATTGAAATATCACTCATGTCTATCAAAAATTGAGAAATTAGGCATTTTGTAGCAAATAAAACTTACTTAATGTACATTTGATCCTTTAATATTATATACCATTTGAAAGGTAAATCTTTTATCTATTGCTGCATGTTAAAATATTGGTAACTTTCAATGCCTTTCATCTAGAAAAACATAGCAGAACATACCCACTGAGCCAGTTTTTTCGTCAAATGAATAGTTTTGTAACAAAAATTAATAGGTAGTTCTCTTTAAAAACTGATGTATCATTTAATTAAATAGGAACTGTAAATATTTTGACCTGCAGCCATAGACAAATGCATAAGCTTTCAGAAAATGTATTATTTTCCTGATTTTGATATCTGGTTAATAAGTTTTACTTCCTACAAGTTTAAGTTTACCAGGAACGCGTGATATTTTAACTGGTTAGGAAGTTGCCTATCTCTGTTATCTATGTCTCTGAGTAGACCTATAAGCATCTGTACATAGGATGTACCAACTTTAAACTCTTTTAAGTGTGTTCTATTTATAGAAAACTGTTTCTTTTTTCTCCCCGGAGACACCTTTTGTAAGGTACTAGGAAGTTAATAGATTACCTGTGAATTGGTTCACTAACAATATTTTGGCTGCCAATTTACTTAGTGCTTACTATCTCTTGCCCGTAAAGTGTAAATATTCATAAACTAAGGGGTTATCCTTTTTGAAATAATGTACCTTATCAATGACAGAGAGATGGATTTTTCCTTGACCCACCTTTTAACCCCACCCCGACCCACATTACCTCAACCTCAACATTAATGTTTTTATCGTAACAGCCCCTTTTTCAATCCTTATAGCAATCAGTGATGATAAAATTTGTTCTTATATTTGATATTCTTTTATGCAACTTAATGTGACTTTACTCAGGATAACTATAAATGGACTATGATAGCATAACCATAGTTTTATTTCTTCTTTTACATCTTGTATATAATCATAACATGCATGATTGTTATGTGGAATATTTATAGAATCTTGTTCTTAAATGTGCCATTTATGTAAAAGACATTTTTTGGACATATCAGTCATTGTAATAAGCCATTGGTATGTGGCTAATGTCGGACATAAATTCTGAAAAAAGATAAATCTGAAATATATAAATCTGAAAAAGAGAAATCTGAAATAGATAAATTTGAAAGAGAGATATTTTATGTATAAAATGTATATATCAATCTGAAAAAGAGAAATCTGAAATATAAAAATCAGAAATATAGAAATCTTTAACAGATATTTGAAATAAAGAAATCTTAAAAAAAGATAATTGATATACACTGTACATGTGTACATGTATTTCGTCACCTTAGTGCAGTTAATGGGTTAATAGGAGTTAAAACTAAATTTAAAGGAGTAAACCAGTTATTGCACTAAGGTTATTTATTAATCTGAAAAGGAGTAATTTGAAATGTTAAAATCTGAAATAGGAAAATTTAAAAATAAATCTGAAAAAGAGAAATCTGAAATAATAATAATCATAGATGTTCATAAGTGGAATATTATTTGATCTTGCATGTAAAACAAACAAATTGTCTGTTTATTTCATGCTTTTTATTTATTTTCATTCATTCATAATTCATTCATTGTCATATCATGTCATACACTGTTCATGTTATACCTTGATTATGGTTTTATAATGTGAATTTTAGGTTAAACAATTTTAGAAATATCTGTAGATTATGGTATAGTTTAACATGACAATTGTTCATGTATTTGAAGTTATATTATACATTTGATTCATTTAATCATTTTTGTTGTTGTATAATTTAGATGCATTTGTAGCTTATATTCAAATATACTTCTACTGCAGTGAAAATATATTTCATATTTTCACTGTGAACTTAAATAATCAACTTTAAAGCATGTAATAAATGGTTCATTTTATGAATGAACTGTGTGCTTAGGATGACATCACTTCACCATTATGAACATAGATGTAAATTCCTACACTACCATAAGAAAAAAGTATTGGATGAAATTACATTAATTTCCATATAAAATTGAATTATTGAACCATTTAAAATGTTATTGTAGAATATGCAAGAAAAAAATATTTGACATGTTTGCAGCTCATTTAGGAATGTATTTTCCTTAGGTTTTAGCCCATATGTCATGTTATTGATTGCAACACATAACAGACATTATCAAGAATAAGCCGTAATAAGGAGTTTTCAAGTCTAGTGGTGCATATCATCAGCATTTTCAAGTTCTATAGATTTTTGGTCAGAGTAATTTCCCTTTAATTATTTTTATTTTTCAGAAATTTGTCCAGTCTCCATACTACTAATGCAATTTGAGTGAAACTTTACAGGATTGATCAATATGATATTTAATGTGTTTTCTGGCTGACTGTTTTTTTGGCTGAGTTATGGCCCCTGAATAAAAAAATGTTTTGGCCTGTTAATCATATTTGTATCTTTCGCTACACAACATAAAGGGAACAAACTGGTCAATATCATCCCTGAATACAACTGCTTAATTGGCTATCATCCGGTGACACGTGATCACTGATCGCTCTTGTTATCATTATGTTTTCATTGAAAGGAAAATCATGTTCACATTTTTAACAATTCATTATTTGTTTTTTTTTATCACCACTGCATGTTTCTTTTTTTTTAAATGTGGCAATATTGTTAAGTGATATTTTAACTGTTAGTATTGTTTTAACTAGATAAATATTGTATTTTAGTAGATCTTTTAAAATGCATTGTATGTATATATTTTAGATGTTTTTTATAAGTATAAAACTTATTCTGTAGTTACTTACAGTAGAGGACCAATATTCAAACTTCATGACTTTTTTACAGGTCTTCATTAAAGAGAGAAATAACACGAAGATATTTGTTTGTTTGTAGTGAATATAGAATATACATGTACATTTATCTCACTGAGAATTATAGAATATTTTCAAGAGTGCAAATTGTTATTGAAAATATGACAAAATTTATTCTTACAAGAGAGGTCTGTTTATTATTTATTCAAAACAAATAAATTTTCTGACCAGTTGTTCACAAAGAACAGATCAAGATCTGGATCAAAGAATGCAAATTTTATTTTCTTCGCTGTATTAGACATACATTGATCGTTTTAGGTTAAAATAATCAGGTACACTGCAAAAAGTAAAAATTGATTGTTTGCAAAGAAATAAACTTATTTCGTAATAAAATTTAGAAATAATAATACGAAATAAAAACATAATTTGGTCCAAACAGTGATCAAATTTTGGATTAAGAGCAATATTTGGATCAACCTTTAAGCATGCATATCTTGTTAAGAAGTGATGATTTTTCTAGAAAAATTCATGAAATTATGCTTTTACAAGTGAACTTTTATAGAAACATTAAATTTAATAAACCTCTGTGATTAAACAATTGATTATAGAAAAGAAAAGAAATTTTAATCCTGATCTTGGTCCCGATCATTGAAATTTACCCCGTCATTACAAAACCAACATAGTGTGTCTGCGACCAGCAGGATCCGGATCTGGATCCAGACCAGCTGATACATCTACACAGTCTGATCAGAATCCATGCTGTTCGCTTACCAACTCTATTACAAGTAGAGAAACTGATAGTGAATATCATGGATGGAGGTTGCAAACACACTATGCTGGTATTGTCATGGCGCGGATGTTAGTGAACAAAGGGTCTGTTGTTTTCTATAGTATTTGCATCGAACTAGTCGAGACATTACCTATAAAGGCACCATTTATCACAATTATGAACCAAATTTTTTATATTTCATTATGTTGCAAGTAGTGTGATATTATCTATATCTCAATGATATATTTCAATATCTCATCAAAATGTTAATGATAATAATCAGTTGAAAATGATTTAATAATGATAATGTATTTGAATTAGTAATATCATAATATTTGTAATATTATGATTATTATCTACTTTTTGAAAGTTTTTGCTGGAGTGAAATTATACATTTCAAGACCACTTTTGTTCTACTCACCATTATTGTTATGACTAGTCTTGTTCACATAAATAAACAAATTTGTTTAGAAAACAAGCAAAATATTTTCTTTTTTTTCTTTTCTTAATTTAAGGTCCATTATGCCCCAGAAATGCTTTGATTTTTATTTCTCACGAGCTAATTTTTCCCCTAAAAGTTACTCATCAACTAATACCTTACTTCAAGTGATAAGTATTTAACATGCTCTCAAACCTTCATTTAAAAATTTCAAAACCCATGTTTTCCCTGTCTGAAGATTGATATATTTATTTGTTTCTGAGGCACAGTGTGGCTTTAATATACATGTAGCTTGCTTCTGATGTTCTGTCAAAAGTAAGGGTAGCTTAAACTTCAAAATAGGCCTTTTTTCAGTTTTTTGCCTTTTCAGTATAGTGAATTTTTATTTGTTACACTTAATTTGATCACTCAAAGTTGGCTTAAATTAGGTCCTAGCTACTTTGTTGAAATGACTAAATCCAGTGAAGGGCTTCAAAGTTGTGGCTCCTGATAGAGCCAAAATAGGCATATTTGGACTTATAGACTATAAAAAGCAAAAAGTGCAATGGAAAAAAATTGTCATTATACCTTAATATTAATGTATAAGAGTGAGAACTTTTATATATGGGATATTGTATTGCCTGGTGTACATTTGGAAGGTGTATTTAAATCAGGACACTGTGAGCAAAATCGTCCACATCCAAGGGCTCTGTTGATTTTTTTATTGATTCAAGCATATTGTGTTGCCCCAAAAAACATTTATACATATATTTTATTGCCCAAAAAACATTTATACATGTAAAGACAGTTGCAATACAATGGTACAATATATATTTGGCAAAGGGTTGACCCCCAAGTCCTCATGAAGGTATAGGGAAAAACTTTTAAAAAACACTCTAAATGTAGATTGCAGTAAAACCTAGTATTTAGATATTGGTTTGTACAATATTCTAGAGGACATACACCAGGTTAATCAAAACATGAATCTACAGTCAAAACTGGACCAGTCCTGGTGTCATTTAGTTTGCTAACAACATATTTGTGTCATTTTTATAACAGTACATTTATTAGTTACTCAATAAAAATTTAAAATATTTGCTAAATCAGCACCTTGCTTTCACTGAAGGTCATCTTTGCTAAATATAGATTTCTTCTTTCTCTTCTTTAGCCTTCTTTAATTGGCCAAGATCTTAGATATATTATAACCTTTGTGTTGAGTTACATGTAAAGGTCATTAGATTTAAGGTCAAAATGATGAAATTTTGATAATCTGCATCTCTCAATACAAATTAACAATACATATCTTTATGATTTCCATGGTAATGGTAACAATTACACTTTCCATGATAATAATTACACTGGCCATGATAATGATTACACTTTCCATGTTAACAATTACACTTTTCATGGTGATTACACTTGCCATGATAATGATTACAATTACCATGATAAAGATTACACTTACCATGATGATGATTACACTTTACATGGTAATGATTACACTTTCCATGATAATGGTTCCACTTTTCATGATAATGGTTCCACTTTCACTGGTAATGATTCCACTTTCCATGATAGTGATTACACTTACCATGGTAATGGTTACACTTTCACTGGTTATGGTTACACTTTCCATGATAGTGATTACACTTTCCATGGTAATGGTTACACTTTCCATGATAGAGGTTACAATTTCCATGGCAATGATACACTTTCCATGGTAATGGTTCCACTTTCCATGGTAATGATACAGTTTCCATGGTAATGGTTCCACTTTCCATGATAGTAATTACAATTTCTATGGCAATGATTACACTTGCCAAGATAGTGATTACAATTTCCATGTTTATGATTACACTTTCCTTGATAATGGTTCCACTTTCCATAGTAATGATTCCACTTTCCATTGTAATGGTTCCATTTTCCATGGTAATGATACACTTTCCATGGTAATGGTACCACTTTCCATGGTAATGATACAGTTTCCATGGTAATGGTTACACTTTCCATGATAGTAATTACAATTTCCATGGCAATGATTACATTTGCCATGACAGTGATTACAAATGTCCATGGTAATGATACACTTTCCATGATAGTAATTACAATGTCCATGGCAATGATTACACTTGCCATGATAGTGATTACAATTTCCATGGTAATGGTTACTTATCAAATATAAAAAAATATGAAAATTACACATATTTATTTAGTTGTCCTTCTATCATTTATAGATTACTAGTTCCATTGCATTTATAGTGTTATGATAATAAATAATGATAAATAATTTCTGTGTGAAGTCGAGTATTGTCTTCTGGATTCTTAAAGCTTTATATGAAACTTTGAACAAATAATTTATGTTCTTGACAGTTGTTTGAGAATGTGTTATTGATGACGCTTTTTTTTTTAAATAAAATAAACTATAAAAATATGTATTTTTTAT